CGGCCACGGCGCCCTCTCGAGAACCGAAAACGGACAATTCACTAATCGACGTGTCACTGTTGGGGGTTCTGTCCACCCCCGAATAGCATGGCCCGAGAGGCCATCTTTCGCGGCAGAAACCATCAGCAACGTCCCCCGCTCCGATTGCGCACCGGATCCACTTCCCCGAAACGGGGGCTGCTGCCGCTCCCGTTGCAGAGTCGATGCCACCCCCTGGCAAAGAGTGCGGACAGGGGCTCAGACCGCCATGAAACTCGAGATCGGCAGAGGTCGAAAGAGGCTGGCCAGAAAAACGTCACCAGAATCAGGGAGTAGGGGGAGGAGGAGCACGGCGCTTTTTGGTATGGTGTCCACATGCACCGTTTGTGAGGAAGTACCCGCTGCGGTGACGCTGGAAAGACTGCCCAGGACGACAGACTGGTCCCTCCGGAAGTGGCCTGGAGGTCCTGGCACCCCATATTGGAACAAAAACAAGACATCGGATCAGTATCGTTTGACCCATCCCCATCCAAGTGGGCCAGGGCTCCTCAGCGCCACCAGCCTACCTCCGCGTGGTGTGGACACTTGCCGCGAGGCCCGACGGGGATATGCAGCATGCATCCTCACCCAATGGGGGGTAGGACGGGCAGCGGGACCGAGGCTTTCCCAGTGGGGATAAGGATGCTCCCAAATCCGCGTCGTGCTTTCTGGCGCAACGTCGGCCCCCCGAGGTCTGGAACTATTCCCCGTGGCCAAATCTTCATCCCGATAAGATGTTTGACGGGCCTTCGTCCCGGGACTCGCGAGGCCCAAAATTGGCAGAAACCCGACGCCGTGCTTGTTTTGTTCGCAGGTTTGAGACCGAAGGAGGAGGAGGAGGAGGAGGAGGAGGAGGAGGAGGAGGATGAGGAGGAAGAGGAGGATGAGGAGGAGGCCCGATCGTGGTGCTGATCCGAGGCCCGGCCGCGCCTGCCGGCGGGCGGGGCGCGTGGCGCCTGCATCTTCTGCAGCGCGATCCACATCTGGGCCCTGCGCGCCTGGTACTGCGCCTTCGCCGGCCCCCCGCGAACCCGGTGGTTCTTTCTCAGGAGGGAAAAACACACAGACACAATTAATCGCCGATTCCCCAAAAATATGGGAAAATATGGGAAGTGTGGGGGAAGACAAGAACCTAGAAAATATTGGAAAATATGAGGAATCTGGTTATTTGTGTGTATTTATGTGTGTGTCCCTGGGCCCCTTCACTTTCCCCTCCCCCCCGATCCCGTAGCCATTTTGGCTCAAGGCCCGCTTCGCAGTCGCAGCCATCTCGCCCCCTTTCGGCACACTGTGACTCCTCGGACTGAGCCCATGCACGCCGCGCTCCCGGACGTGGCGCCCACTCGCATGCACGGCCGCGTAGAGGGTCACGCCCCCATGCACGCGGATCCACCTCGCTGGACTGCTCTAAGGTGCCCAGCCTTATTCACGGGGCTGCCGGCCGCCTTCAATGGCGTCCTCTGCGACTACGGCAGTGCGGCGCTGGCGCAAGCAACGGCGTCCAATCTCAGCCATGCGACGGAGTACTACAAGGTGCAGAGCATTTTCACGGGACTGAGGTTCGCCTGCGAGGATTACCCGTTCCACCACTGCAGCGCGACCATGGCGGCTGCTGCGTCCGAGCTCGGCCATTCGGTGGAGTGCTACGAAATCATGGGCATCTCAACTGGGCTGTCGTTCGCCAACGAGGACAACCTCTTCCGCTACTGCAGCGCGTCCCTGACGCAGGCGGCCGCATCCCAGCCCATCTGCACTGCGGAGTGCTACGAGGTACCACGCATCTTCCTAGGGCTGCGGGCCACCTACGAGAACAGCACTGCAGCGCGCCCCTGGCGCAGGCGGCGGTCTCTCAACCACACAGTGGAATGCTACGAGATGCCGGGCATCTACATGGGGCTACAGTTCGCTACGAGGACTACCCCTTGCGCTTCTGCCTCGCGTCATTGGCGCAGGCGGCGGCGTCCAAGCTCAGCCACGGGGGACAGAACATATCCACGGGGTTGTCGTTCACCCTCAAGGATTACCCCTTCCGCTACTGCAGCGTGTCCCTGGCGCAGGCGGCGGCTTCCGAGCGGAACCACGCGGTTGAACGGTACGAGGTGCTGGGCATCTTAAAGGGGTTGCCTTGTGAACGTTTTCTTCTTTGGCGTTTCGACATTGAGCGAAAGGGGGGAGGGAGGTGTCTGGCTCCGGACCTCGGAACTCTGCTTAGTGCGACTGCTTGGAACAGTGCACCTATGGGGAATCCTGTGGGGAGGCGGGCCCCCGTGCTCACCTCACCTGCTTGTGAACAGGCGCCCAAGAAACAGCCAAGATCCACTCAATGGGGGGGAGGGGGGCGAGGGCCCACGCCGACCCTTCGTCGTCCACCAATACCAGTGTCCCACTTCGGTGCGATGCTCCGCAAATGCCGGGAACCTCCACGGGACTGCCGTTCGCCTGCGTGGACTCCCCTTCCGCTATGGCAGCGCGCCCCTTGCGCAGGTGACGGCGTCCAAGCTCAGCCATAGGGCGGAGTGCCACGGGGTGCAGAACATCTTCGTGGGGCTGCCGTTCACCCATGAGGACTGCCCCTTCCGCTACGGCAGCGCGGCCCTTGTGCAGGCAACGGCTTCCAAATTCAGACACACGGCGGAGAGCTACGAAGTGCTGGGCATCTCCACGGGGCTGCCGTTCGCCTGCGAGAGCAACCCCCTCCGCTACTGCGGCGCGTCCCTGGCGCAGGCGGCCGCGTTTCAGCTCAGCTACTCGGCGAAACGCTACGAGGTGCCAAACATCGTCTCGGGGCTGAGGGGCACCTACGAGGGACACCCCTTCTGCTACGACAGCGCGGCCCTGGCGTTGGCCACGGCCACCAAGCTCAACCATATGGCGAAGTGATACGTGGTGCTGGGCATCTTCATAGATCATGGAACTGCCGTTTGCCTACGCGAACTACCTCTCATCAGTACTTGATCTGCGGCGCGATCTGCCGCGCTAGCGCGCCCCTTGGGCAGCGGTCAAATTTCCCGTGTTCCCCACCTCTGGTGGTAACATTCAACTCGGTGGCTCCCTCTCTGGGAATCAATGTGTGCCTCGGTGCAACTTGTCGCCATTTTTTCCGTAAAGGTCATAGAGCTCTGGCGTGGCTCCTATCACTGGTCAGTGCTGTTTTCCTCTTTCTGTTACTTGTCTGGTACCACAGTCGGTGTCAGTCTGGTGGCCGAAGCTCAAACCTGTCTGTGCAGCTGTGGTGAACGGCATTGATCGCCACGCTCTTCTTTTCAATGCTGATGGCATCGCATAAATATTGCCGCTTACTCGCAAGCTTCCTACAGGCTGGCGATGAGCCTTTCATCCGATTCCAGATCCAGACCCAGCGAGCGGCACAATTCAATTCAGGTCAGACGCCCTGCGTCTGATCGGCGCGCGAGCTATGCAGAACCGTGAGCCGCCAGAGCGCTCACAAAAGAGAGGCGTCCTGCCTTGGCCGGGCTTGAGCATACTACGAGGCGTGATTGCGCAAAAGCATGTGTACTCCAGATCTCGTAATAACAGGGAGGGGATCTGGACCCTCCAAGACAAGCCATTTCAGACCCCCTCCCGTGGGAGAACCCTCCAAAAACATCGTCCCCAGACCCCCCCCCAGGCCCTCCAAGATAGCCCGGAAGAGACCCCCCCCCGAAATGAGACCCCCCTCCCTTTTATTACGACATCTGGAGTAACAAAGAGGCGCATGCGCATGGAGATGCGCCCTCCTTGGAGCGTTCCGCGCGCGCCTGTCCTTCGGCGCGGGCACCTGCAGCAGCGGTGCGCCTGCAAACGTGCACGCGCGCTGGCATGTGCGCGCCCGCACCCTCTGCTCTTCTGCCTTCGCAACCTTCTCCTCGTCAACCACTCCTCCTCCCTCCTGCTCCTCATCCTCCTCTTCCTCGTCCTCGTCCTCCTCCTCCTCCTCCTCCTCCTCCTCCTCCTCCCCCTCCTGTTCCCCCTCCTCCTTCCCTTCGCCTCATCTTCCTCCTGCTTCCTAATCCAGCCGTGGCGACGAGGGCTCTCCGGGACGAGCAGCCCTCCAAACCTCTCCCTGGGGTGGTGCTCTCTGACCAGGACTTCGAGGGGAATCCGGCAGTGGCGACGAGGGCTCTCCAGGACGAGCCGCGGCATCGGTGCGTTCCCCCCCCACCCCCCCCCCCGTGCCTCCGAAAAGTTGTAGGTGGCCGTGAGCCACGTCAGGTCGGCGCAGATCTTTGCGGCGTAGAGCTGCCCCAGCAGCAGGAAGAACGAGTTCAGGCTGGGGACGCGGGAGAAGCGGGCGCGGCCGCGGGGCGGAGGCGCATGGGGTGGCCGCGCGGAACTGTGGCAGGGAAGGGCGGGAAAGGCGGGGAGGGGAGGGAAGGCAGGATCGGTAAGAGTCGAATCTTGGGCGCCCGAGTTATCCGGGGCAACTCTCCTCGCTCCTCCCTCTTTCCTCATCCTCCGCCTCCTCCTCCTCCTCCACCTCCTCCACCTCCTCCTCCTCAGGCCCGGGGTAACTCGGGCTTGGATTCCCGACAAACGAACCCGAATTAGCCCTGACCCGAATTACCCATGATGATTTGGGACTCTGGACGCCCGAATTACCCGGAGTAACTCGGGCCCGGGGTAACTCGGGTTCGGATTCCCGACAAGCGAACCCGAATTAGCCCTGACCCGAGTTAGCCCTGATGACTCGGGGCTCTGAGAATGCGCAAACTGGATCGTATCGGTATGTGCGTCGGATCGGGCCGCCCTCGGCAAGACCAGACCAGACCGAGCGCCAAGACAAATGCACAACTGCGCTGTGCAAGAATCAGGCCACATCGGACCGCTAAGAAATCGGAATCGGGTCGGTTCGAATCGATCGGATCGATCGAGCCGGATCGGATCGGATCGGATCGTCAGGTGAACTCGGCAATGGATCGGATCGATCGAATCGAAATACGCCCGGGAAGGTGGGGAGATGAAAGCGGACGGGGAGGGAATGATCGGGGAGGAAGTGTTTGGAGACGGCGCATGGGAGGTCTTCGTAAAAATGGCTCAGCGGTCTCAGGCCCGAGTAAGGGGCCATGGAGCCGGATCAGCAGGGATTAAGCCCGATGTAGCTGCATTCGTTTGCATAGGTGGGCGGAACTAAGGTGATGCTGTGTACTGCCAGTCTTCTACCACGGTTCTATCAGCGCTGATGCTGCATGTCGCGCCCTCGGAGTTACATCGTAGAACCAAACAGGGAAGTGCGCGCCCAGCCATGCATTTCCCTGGATATGCCTCGCCCCTCGTGCGAGGGGCCGCTCCCCTCGTTGCTCGAGCTCGCGCCGAGCTCATGCGCGCGAGCGTTACCATCAGACGAAGCCAGGACGAGAAAACATCGTGTAAGGATAACTCGAGAACCTCTGAGAATCGCAAGCTCTGGAAGGTGTCTCGGGCGCCACGGCCTTCTCAGAGTGTTCCGGAACGCTCCGAGAGAGCTCTGGAACGCTCTGGAACGGCGAAGCCAGGGCCAGGGCAGAAGCGGGATGGGGCAACTCGGGGACCTCTGAGATCCGGCGCCGCTGGAGAAATGCATCCGTTCCAGAGCGCTCCACCACGCTTTGAGATCGTTCCAGGACGCTCTGGAACGATCTGTCCTGGTCCTGGCCCCGCGCGAGATACGCAGAAGGAAAGCGGCGGAGGAGGGAGAGGAGTACTGGGCGCCTCTCCCACAGAAGCAGTCGAGGCGCCTACAGTGACGATTGAGCGCGGCGCACATCGCAATGCCCCAGTGACCCTCAAGCGCGCGCGCAGCTCAGAAAACTCCAACGCCGTGACCTTCCCCTTCCCTGGGACCGGCTTTTCATTCCCGGCAGTATTGTTTTATTCACTGAGGGGCAACGTTAGGGGGGCACCAGCGGGGGGGATACATCGCCGACAGAGATCGGCGATATGCCCCCGGTAGCAAATCCGCACGGACCTGGGCGGGATGGGGTTATCTGGCCCCTCTCGGCGATCGGTGGGTGAGTGGGAATTGATGCGCCCCACCCCGTCAGGACGCTTCACTCAGGCGCCCGAAGCTGCCTGCCACGCTGCTTCCCAAAGATCGCTTCCCTGATGCGCACTTTTGCCCCGGCCGGCCCGACGGCACCTGCCTGGAGGCTTCCCTGGGCAGCCCGAAGGTACCTGGCAGGACGCTTCCAGCTCGACTTCCGAACTAGTCCTCCTCCTCCTCCTCCTCCTCCTCCTCCTCCTCCTCCTCTTTCCCCTTATCCTCCTCCTCCTCCTCCTCTTCCCCCTCCTCCTCCTCCTCCTCCTCCTCCTCCTCCTCCCTCCCTCCTCCTCCTCCTCCTCCTCCTCCCCCTCCTCCTCCTCCTCCTCCCCTCCTCCTCCTCCTCCTCCTCCTCTCCTCCTCCCCTCCTCCTCCTCCTCTTCCCCCTTCTCCTCCTCCTCCTCCGCCTCATCCACCTCCTCCTCCTCCTCCTCCTCCTCCTCAGGCCCGGGATAACTCGGGCTTGGATACTCCTGGACTCAAGGGGGCTACATCGTGGCCTCAGGGGGGCTGCATCCTCCTCCTCCTCCGCCTCCGCCTGGGATCCCTCCACGTTCGGGGATCTTCAGAAACCGCACAGAAACCTCCCGCCGCAAATCCGTCAGAAACGCCGAGGGCGTGCGACGACACGTCGAGCCGAGAGAGCAATACTCGTTGTACTTCCACTCCCTGTCATCCCATGTGCCAAGGATCAATCAGCATCGAACAAGGAACTCGGATCGGCTCAGAAAAAAATCGTCGCAACGAGCCGCATCGGCACGGAGTCGGAGTCGAATCGGATGGACCGCGCCAAGATACACATCGCCATGCAAACTTCGGACCGCGTCGGACCGTCAGAAATCAGACCCACGCTGGATCAAGCCGGCCAAAGCCCAATCGATTCGGACCGACATACCGTGCTGTGTGCCTGTGTGCTGCCCCCTCAGGGTTCAGAAGGAAACCCTGGGCTGGTCGGCGATCCATCCCCCGTCTTTCGAAATCGGAGCAGGGCGAGCTGAGACAACATCAATTTCAAATCGATCCCAGGACCCCTACCGGGGTCCAACGGCACCGGTTTGCTAAGCTGCGTCCAGCCGTGGCCACGAGGGGGGCCCCGACTGCCAACTACCATTGCGTCAACTCACCCTCCTCAAAGAACTAGGTCCTACGACACTCGTCCTCGGGGCACCATCCCTCGGCAATGCATCGCCATATATCGGCGATAGGTCCCCTATAGCAAATCCGCACAGCTCTTGGCGGGGTGGGGCTATCAGGCCCCTACCGGCGATCAATGGTCGATTGGAGGAGGAGGAGGAGGAGGAGGAGGAGGAGGCTGCAGCCCCCCTGAGGCCCATCCCCCCTGACGTTGCCCCTGAAAACCAGACTCCAGCGGCGCGGGTAGCGTGTCGCCTGTGCTCCCCGGGCGTCACCAGCGTGTCGCCGTAGCCGACGGAGGCCAGGCTCAGCACCGCGAAGTACATCGACTCCTCCCCCCCCCCGCGGGCGACGGCGGCGACGACGGCCGCGGCGACGGCGGCGGCGACGGCAGCGGCGAAGACCGGCGGCGGCGGCGACAACGACGGCGGCGGCGACGGCGACGACGACGGCGGCGACGGAGGCGGCGTCGGCGGCGGCGGCGGCGATGGAGGCGGCGCCGGAGGCGGCGGCGGCGACCGCGGCGACGACGACGGCGGTGGCGACGGCGGCGGCGTCGACGGCGGCGGCGATGGTGGCGACGGCGGCGTTGACGGGGGGCTCGGCTGCGGCGTTGGCAGCGAGGTCGGCGACGACGGCGGCTACGAAGATCGAGTGTCGAAGCTTTCGGGCGTCTGTGACCCTCTCTTTGGCCTCTGGCGCAACGGCTCCTCCCCGCGGTGGTCGCGGCCAGCGGCGGCTAGAGAGAGAGGAAGGGAGGGTGAATGGAGGAGTAATCCCACCAGCCCTTTGGGCGTGAGTGGTTTAGAGAGCTCTCTCTGTCCTCAACCCCCCAACCCCCCTTCTTCCCCTTCGGAGAGGGGTTTACCCCTCCCCCTACCCCCTCCCCCTGGGCCTGGAGAGGTCGTCCCGCGGGTGGTCAGAGGGGTCTTTTTCGACTCCTGGGAGGGCCAAAAAACGACGACCCTCACGAGGATTCTGGCCCCGTCGGGGGGACCACGAAAAAATGCTCTCCTCTTCTCTGAAGCCAAAATCCTTGATTTGACTACGGTTTTGGCCCCATTTTGGCCGTCTGAGGGGCCAGCGCTGCTGCTCCTTATTCTCCAAATTATTGATTTTACAAAGGTTTTGGGCTCATTTTGTCCTTATGAGGGGGTAGCGCTCATTTGCGCTTCTCAGGAGGTCGCAAGAAGCCCCAAGATGGCCCCAAGAGGCCCCCAGGAGGCTCCCAAGAGGCCTCCAAGAGGCTCCCAAGCCGCCCCCAAGAGGCCTCCAGAGGCTCCCAAGAGGCACCCAAGAGGCCCCCAAGGGCCCCACGAGGCCACAAAGAGGCCCGCAAGAGGCCCCCAAGAGGCCCCCACGAGGCTCCAAGAGGCCCCCAAGAGGCCCCACGAGGAGCCCGAACGACTCACACCAGGACGAGGGGCCCGAACGACTCACACCACGAAGAGCCCGAACGACTCACACCACAAGGAGGGGCCCGAACGACTCACACCAGGACGAGGCGCCCGAACGACTCACACCACGAGGAGCCCGAACGACTCACACCACGACGCGGGCCCCGAACGACTCACACCACGAGGAGCCCGAACGAGTCACACCAGGAGGAGGGGCCCGAACGACTCACACCAGGATGAGGAGCCCGAACAACTCACACCACGAGAAGCCCGAACGACTCACACCAGGACAAAGAGCCCGAACGACTCACACCACGAAGAGCCCGAACGACTCACACCAGGAAGAAGGGCCCGAACGACTCACACCAGGACGAGAAACAACCCCAAACGACTCAAATCACGAGGAGCGCTTTCTCTCCCTCCTCCTCCGCCTCGTCCTTCTCCCGCTCCCCCCACAAGGAGGATTCATAAGGAGGCGGGAGGAAGGAGGGACAGGGGAGATATACGGAGCCCAGCGGACACGCGCCTGAAAAACACAACTGTCGACATGCTTCGCGAGAGCTGCTGCTGTCAGATGGGCTGGTGGGGATACGCGAAGCGTAAAGAATTACCCAGATGGAGGAGTACCCAGACCCCCTCGCGTTGCGAAAAACGACGGACAATTCTTGCGCTCTGGAGACCAGTAAGTCTCACAAAACAACATGTGAAACTTTCAGAGTTCCAGATCATGGACCGATTCGGATCTGCGGTCGGCATTGGGCGGCTCCGGCGCTCGTACTGCCAGCTGGCTCTCCCGCAGAAGGCTACTGCCAAAGCTGGTGCTGCCCATGCCCAAAGCCGGTTCGATCTGCTGAAGTCTAGAGAGAAACTCAGCGAAAAGTGAACCCAATGGGGGCATGACTTTTGTAATTACAACGCCCCCGAACAAGCTGGTCCAGCACAAGATCGTGCTGCGGGAACTGTCTACAAAAATTGCTTCCACTGGGGAGCACATGTTGTGGACCTCTCCCAGAAACGAGCTGGTCTGAAACAAAGAACGCGCGCAGTGGCAATTTCCGTAAATCGGCCCCCTACTCAACCACCCGGCGGCTCAAGAAACAAATGACGGCATGGCTTTGGCATGTCTTACCCTTTGGAAGCCAACTTCTGGCCCCAAGGCCTTCGAAGAGCGAGTTGGGGTGAAACGCAGGCCAGGAGGGAGGGTCGAGAGATGGCATGAAACGAACGGGTCCCGAGGAAAACGGGTCGAGGAGACCCAGGGCACTCCACTCTGGACCATCGTCAATTCCGAGTCGGCTTTCGAGCCCCAGGGCCCGCGAAGGGCCCCAGGAGGCCAAGACCTGCGAACAACCTCAGGGCCTCGGGGCCCCATGTCTAGAGAAATGAGAAAACTGCACAGACATCACGCTTGAGGAGCACCAGACGGATTTCTTGAATCTGCGCTGGACCCCCTTCCCTGTTGGGGGGACGCAAAAATGTTGGGTAGGGGCAGAGGTGGGGTTCGAGGGACATCGCTACAAACGGCCCGCTTAAGAAGGACATGTGAGCATCCAGCTGGGTTCGTTCCCCACCCCCACCTTGGAATGACCCCCTCTGCGAACCCCCGACCCTGGTGCACGGGTTTGCAGCCCAGGAGACGATCGCTGTGCTCCAGCTGATGGGCCAACTTTTCACCACCACTACGATAGCTAGGACGGGAGAGAAGGAAGGATGAGGAGGTCCTCCTCCTCCTCCTCCTCCTCCTCCTCCTACCTCTGGTAATGGTGGTGGGAAATCGGCCCATCACCAGTACCACGCGGGAGCGGGGCCCCGCAGGGAGTCCAGGCGTTGAGTCGGTGCGTGCGGGCGCCGCCATCGCAGGACGGGCCATGCTGGGAAGGTGGCAGGGCAGTCGGCCTCCGCAGGAGTCCCCCAGAACGCACGTGCACATGATTGGTTTGTATGACCTCGATCCTTCCAAAGGACACTCCACACAACGCCACCATCTGCTATCGGTGCATTGCGCGAACGTTCGCAAAACGAGAGCGGAGCATGCCAGGGGCAGCGCAAGCGGCGCCGCCGGGGGGGGGGCAGCGCAGGCTCCAAGGCATCCGCGTGAAGCTTCGAAAGGTCGAATGTGTGCGACACTAGTTGCTCTCTGACCCCTGATAAATGGTGACCCCCTCCTGCCACTTTCCCTCGTGGCAACGCGGAGTCGGGAACTCCACGTCTCGGGAAAATCGACAGGGATGACGGGCATCGTCCGTGGGGGTGTGGGGGGCTGGCTCAGATGTGGAAGCGTCGACCTGGAGTCGGCGTTACATTGCCGATATATCTGAGATGGGCATCCGATTGCGAATCCATACGCTCCTGATCGGGAGTAGGCCATCCGGCCCTGTCGTTGAAAAAAGAGCGGTTGGGGATCGATAAATCCAGCCCTGAACCGATCCCCTCCAAAATGATCCTTGTCGTTTGGTTTTTGGATCATGACGCGTGCCTCTGGCGGCCGGTGGAGGCGATACGGGCACCCGGGAAACGCTCTCGGCGAGGCACATCTGCTGGAACTTATCCCAAGGATGGAAAACCGCCCAAAAACCTCGAACCCCGAACTCCTCCAACCCCTCCAACCGTACGTAACCCCGTATCGAACCCCTCGAACCCGGAACCCCTCGAACCCTTTGACCCCCCCGAGCCCCCGGAACCCTTACCCCTGGAACCCCTAGCACCCCTCGAACCTTTTCCACCTCGAACCACCCGAGCCCCCCACCCGTCGAACCCCTTCTGGGACGGATGGCGACGAGAAGTCGGAGACTCCACGTCGCGGACAGAGCGCACTGCCGAATGCCCCGGGGGTGCAGCGCAGCGTCGCCCGGCCTGGTGCCGCCCACCGTTCCCGGAGCGAGCGCGGCATCAGGGCCTCCCATATCGCGCGCTTCGAAGAGGGGGCAGTGCCAAGGGGGTCACCACCAGGGGTCGGAGGATAAATGCACGCCGGTCGGAAGAACCGGGTAGAGCCAAGATGCAGGCAGGCGCTGTGAGCAGGTTGGGCTTCCGCCCGCCCTCCGAAGCACAAAAGCAAGAGGGACGACCGCTCGACTCTTGAGGTAGGAACGCGTCTGAAGCTCGCCACCGCTCGGACGTCCATACCCTGTGTTTTTTTTTTTGGTTTCGTGCGTGGGTTTTTCGCCAAATGATCAAGGATGCTCCCCGATGGTCCTCGCCGAAGGAAAAATGTACACGTCCGAGCGATGCCAGGTCAATGACTGGCTTGTAGCGACACAACCATGCTATCTGTCGGAGGCCCGCGCGGGTTTCTGGGATTGGCGTTGCAGGCAACCTGGCGGCGCCGACCCCTCGTCGAGCTTCGACCCTGGCACCCACGAGTTCCAGGAGGAGGGGGAGGGGGAGGAGGAATAAGAGGAGGAGGAAAAGGAAGAAGGAGGAGGAACAAGGACGAGGAAGAGGAGCAAGAGAAACAGGAGAAGGAGGGGGAGGGGGAAGAGAAGAACGAAAAGGAAGGGGAGGAGGACGAGGACGAGGAAAAGTAAGAGGGGGAGGTGGAGGAGAAGGAAGGGGAAGCCTAGCAGGAGGAGGACGAGGAGGAAAAAAAGGAGGAGAAGAAGGAGAGGGGGGGGGAAGAGGAGGAGGATGGGGAGGAGGAGTAGGAGAAGAAAGAGGAGGAGGAGCAAGAGGAGGAGGAAGGAAAAATCAGGATCAGGATCGGAACTCCGAAAAACCTCTTGTCTTGGTCAACTACGGGATTGAAACCAGACTCGGAGGAAAACCCCAGCAAGCGGGATTAAGCTCAGGGCAGGAGTGCCTCCGAGGCCCACGCCGAAGGCTAGCGCCCTGCGCCCCAGAGACAGTCTCGGGAACGCATTGCCCATAACCGTGCCCAGCTGGAGCGAGAGGGGGGAGAGACGACGACGACAGACGGACGGCGGCGAACAGCGACG